AGCTGGAACTAAAAATCGGAGTCCTTAATATATTTATATCACGGCTCGATATATCTATTACTTTTGCAAAAATGAAACTTAAAAAAAGAAATTTCACTACGGAATATTATGATTTCTGAACTTACAAGCGATCATACATATTGCAAAACGATAACATATTAAAAAATAATCTGCGAAAATCTGTTATATTAACACTTGAAACGCACGATTAAAAATAAAACTTTTTCTTAGAGCATAGGCTGTGTTTCTCTTATGATATTATATTTTACATTTAAATTAAATTTATATATATATATATTTATATGTATTTAAATTAAATTAAATTAAGTGTCGAGATACTACGCGCACTTGCAGAACTTGAGATATAACATTCCAATACGTAGCTAAATCGACCGTCACATTGCCTTAAATGTGTTAAACAGACATATTAATACACAATGCAACCTCTTTTCACACCTCCGACAAACAAGAAACATCGATATTATAAGTAGTGAGCTCTTTGGCAAGTGTCAAGGTATGCACCTGATCGCACACTGATTACGCATTCCCGCCACTTTTTGTTCAACAATACCACCGAGAGCATCGCCCGATTCGCATTTTTAAGCATTTTAAGGAGCAACGGTATCTATTGCGGTATTTTCTTCGACACTACTGAATAAGTTTCAAAAGGTTTCGATCCTTACTAAGAGAGACGAAGATGTTTATTAAATATGTCTTGAAGTTCTGGATATAAGACTCTTATAAAGAGTCTGTAGCGGCTACGTGACTACTAACAAGATCTGCCGCACATTAAATGTCACTTACGTGGAGTACGTTTCACAAGTTGAGAATTAATGCCACTTACGTAGCAGACAGTGAAGTCCGCTTGAAGACAGGGCACCCTATTCTCGAGATTATCGAAATCAATTTCACCGAGTCGATATCATTCAGTTACATTTGCTTAGCAGCTTACAAAGGATCCGACGTATCTTTAATCCAGAACGGATTCCCAACAGAAACATACCGATTTCTGTGTGTTGCACATTGTTAATCACGTCAACTTCTGTGATACACGCTTCTCTATATAATGCGCACGTATGCGCACGTGCGCAAGGTAACAATAAAAATAATAAAAGTCTAAAATTACAAAGCAGACACGTGCGTGTCTGCGTGCGCGCGCGCATATACGCGAAGTAGCCCAAAATCATTACTAAACATTAACTAAACTTTAACATATTCATACAAATACTTCGATAAAATCACTACACCACGATAGTTTGACATTCTGGAGCTTGATTAGAACCGAAAATCTTAATACGAAAATATCAAGGGCACGGCAAGCTGATTTGTTGTTGAGTTGTATACACAGTCAAACTTTCATGCGCTTCTTCTTCTGTAGCTGTATATTCTCATTGGCTTATAGCCTTTCGTATGCTCAGACCCATAAATACGCATTGTGTATTCATCTGTCATATATTATCAATTGTTTAAAATATTTTCAAAACCCAGCTGATTTCGTGACAATTAAGAATTAAAAATCATCGTCAATACCAGATTGCTGCAATATACATCATGGAATCCTTAAGAATCCGAAGACAAAATCAGCTGATTTGTGAAGATCGATATCCGCTGACTTGCAGAGATCATTAACTGATGACAAATTAGTACACGACAAGTGTCGTGTAAGTACGCGTAATTAAGCGTCTCGACTGTACGATATTATTGACAAATGTTTATCATTCACGAGTCAATAAGTATTGTGCCCTGGACATTTTCGCATTGATCTCTTTGATTCTTGAAGCAAGCCCCCAAATGCGCTATTAATGCGGTATATAATGTTTTGTATTAAAATAATTTAATGTAATCTGGCATTTATGCAACGTGTCTCATCGGTAATCCACCCTTGTTATATTACATTTGTTAAATAACACGCCTCTCATATACGGTATTATATAAGAGTATCTCGAAATTATGCTTCGTTACAGGGTGAAAATGTCAAACAGCCTGAACAGGAAAATTCAAGTTTCGTGAGTTACCGGTGATTAACACGCAAAACAAAGTTGTTTGCTTGCTAAAATATTGTATGGTAATTTTGGGATACTTAATATATATATATATATATATATAAACTGTAAAATATATATAAACTCACGTTTAGTAAACACGGGTGGTTTACAATAGTTGAATAAAAATTGTAATGCAATATTCGATACACGATATAACATTCGATATATAATCACTTGTAAACTGTTAACTGACTCTTATATCCAAGCTTCGGAATAACAAGAAACATCTCATTGCGAACCTGTCATTTTATAAATATAAACGTTAAGTTCGTTGGTTAAAATTGAATTTAGAAAATGTTTTTTATAGAGTATTAAACAAGAGTCAACAGAATTTTATAGAAGAGTTTTAGATAGAATATTAAATACGTGTTTCTGATATAAGTATAATTTATATACTATAAGATCAACAAATAATTCAAGACATCGGAAAACCAATTGTATCACTCTTTACATTTCATTCTTTAGCGTCAACTCTCGCATATAAATTTAGATATTACATTTCAATTGAATTTATCTAACATTAATGAATATCAAAGACTTAGAATCGAGATTAATTTCGGAAATTTCGGTTGTAGTAACGAGAAAATAACATTATGTTACTTCGATTTGATATTCAATTAAAACGAGATTAACGATTCGATAAATCAAACAATTTGTTATTTAAGAAACCTCCGCTATAACGCGAACTGCCGAGGGTTAAACGTTCTTTGCGCAATTGCCTTCAACTTTATATCAGTGAGTTAAATTGCAAGTACACAATTGTAATCGCCATTCTACGAATTATAACTTAACGTAAAATCTTTGTCGTTACATGTCACAATAAGGGTAATCGTGTGCAAGTATGATACACAAAAATTTCATCTAAATATGGAAATATACACGCAGAACGTTTAACAACAGAGTAACAACGATTACGACGATAATAGCAATGACGACGACGACGACGATGAATATGACTAACACTAACAATAATGATAACAATAACAGTGATGACGACGACGACGACGACGACGACGACGACGACGACGACGACGACGACGACGACGACGACGACGACGACGACGACGACGACGACGACGACGACGGACGACGACGACGACGACGACGACGACGACGACGACGACGACGACGACGACGACGACGACGACGACGACGGACGACGACGACGACGACGACGACGACGACGACGACGACGACGACGACGACGACGACGACGACGACGACGACGACGACGACGACGACGACGACGACGACGACGACGACGACGACGACGACGACGACGGACGACGACGACGACGACGACGACGACGACGACGACGACGACGACCGACGACGACGACGACGACGACGACGACGACGACGACGACGACGACGACGACGACGACGACGACGACGACGACGACGAACGACGGACGACGACGAACGACAGACCGACGACGACGGACGACGACGACCGACGACCGACGACAACAACAAAGGCGGCAGCAAGAATAACAGTTGCGACGACGACAGCAATAGCAACGGCGATAATGATGAGAACGACGAATACAATGACTGAGAGGACTGCTACAACTATGACTACGACTATGACAAAAACAACAATGGCACTAGTAATGGTGATAGTGATGACGATGATGATGATGATGATGATGATGATGATGATGATGATGATGATGATGATGATGATGATGATGATGATGACGATGACGATGACGATGACGACGACGACGACGACGACGATACTATGATGATTACGACGGTGACAGTGATAACAAGAATGACGCTAACAATCATTACGACAACGATAACGACGATAATGACAACGACAACGAGGATGAGGATGACGACGAAGATGAGAATAAGGATGAAGATGAGAATAACAATGATAATGATAATGATAATGATAATGATAACGATAATGATAATGACAATGACAACGACGAGAAAGATGACGACAATGATGACAACATTAACAAAGACGAAGAAGATAAAGAGGACGACGACGAAGACGATGAAGAGGACGACGACGAGGATAACACGTTGATGGCGATAACGATGACGATGAGGATATCGATATCGATGACGATGACGATGTCGATGACAACGACGACAACGACGTTGTTCGCCTTTTAGTAAAGGTAATGAGCATAGCGCTGATATTTATTCCTCGTCGGATATAGACGCTCTCCTTCACGAGTCAGGTAAGCATAGAAATGAAAACGTTCGTAATTAGGACTCTGTCCCGCGTAATATAATTTTGCAATGGCGTCTTTACGACTCGACAAGAGGGTGTACGTAATATCATGCACTTAGTTTCCTCACTAAAGCAAAGACGCGATTAATCACAGCCATGTCACTAGAAACATTGCTTGCGCATATGCTCTTTCACGAGTGAGCCTTCATATTCTTGATTTGAAAATGTCTATACTACACACTAGAATGACACTTGAATGAATAGACAAATCTTGTCAATTAGATACATATTTTCATTCTTTCAAATGTATTTCGTACTTTATGAAATATATTACTATATGAAAGAACTTGTCTCTCCGAGTTGCATCTATTCATTTTTGTCATCCTTATGTATAAAAATAAATCAGAAAATTAAAAACGTAAAATCTTATGGTATTAATTTAATATGTTCTACGAACGTATCAGTATTTCCTTTTCTTAACAATTGGAACGTAATCGAATGGAGATGTGTTGTTCAATAATTGATCATTTACAAAATGTTTAGCACAATGTGAGACTTTGGAGCCCCAAGTTTGTTTTTCTTTTAACTATAAAAAAAAACAAAAAATAGTACTGGAAGAGTTATGAATAGGAAATACACAACAATCTCAAAGTTTTTAAAAATAAATGATATATTTCTTATACGGGATATATATATATATACATATATATATATACATATATATATATATATATATCCAGACATTCATATATACATATATATTTTTATGTGTAGTACAAAACTAATAATACAAAACGCTTGCGAAACGCAATAAAGCACAAAACAGTATCAGCCATGGAATATGATATTGTATCGGCGAACGTGAAAGCTTCTGTGCGCTCGTTAACGTATGAGCAAGAGTAGTATTTAACAAAAGTATCAAAGCGAAAGAACGGACGAAAACACTGATACTAAGAAAATACAAGAGTAAGAGAAACGGAAAGGGGGAGGGGGAGGAAAGAGACGATAGAACGGAAAGAAAGGGTAGATGGGGAAAGAAAAGGATAAGGAGGGCGTGTCATAAGTAATCGTCCAGCTAGCCAGCGCATCCAAACTGAAAGTTGTATAAACGGCATTTTTCTTCTGCGATTTTTCTCATACGAGTCCTCGCTTATCACAAGCGCCGTATCGTTCCAGAGACTAGCATATAATGCATATAATATTAGTGCATTGCGTGTATGCATCATCACAAATCACACACGATATTCTTCTGTCACAACACTGTTTGATCATATCTTTTTTCTTTCTTTTCATTTTCCGCGCAATCTCCGCTCATCTCTTCTTCATACACATCAAAATAACGACGCACAACTTCGGAAAAGTAGAGGAAAAAAAAAATAAACAAGAAGCGCGCAAAGAAGCGCGAGAAATGTGTCTCCATACACAATCGGTCGGTCGCAAAGATCTCTCTGCGTTTTAATGCGTTTGTATTAACGCGTTAAAATGTAAACACCTTTTCGATTCTCTGTGTACACAAAAGGTGTGCTTTTTAGTGCGTTAAGTCGTTGCAGTCTGATTTAGATGCAGCCATCTTATCTGATAAAACATTACAACGTTAGACAAACAGTAAAGAGAAAAAAGAAAAAAAAAGAAAAACGCGTTGTAAAACATACAATACGTACATCTATGAGTGGCAATTTATGCCATCTCAATCATTCGTCTACTCTGTTTACAGGTACAATGAAATTGAAGAACTTTTCGAGATATTTTATTTGGAGGAAAAATGCTGTACGCACGCACGCGCGCATATGTATGTGTGTATGTGTGTGTGTGTGTATAAATGCGCGCGCGCGCGTGTGCATGCGCGCAATACGTTGTAAAATACGCGCAAATACAACAATAATTGCGACACAGAGGCATTGCATCGTAAAGATAATAAATCTACACTACCAATCCGAAAATATTCATGTACGAGGACTAGAAAATACGCAAATTAAAGAATCGCATCTGACCGGAAAACTGTGTCACAAGCAATTTGAGAGAATAAACTAATTATATCTAGGTATCTCAAACAACACGAAACAACAGAGTTAATTGTAATAGAAATGCAAATAATTTAACTATACTTCAGCATAGAATCGTTGGAAGCCAAAATGCAAATTCCACCTGGCAGCGGTAATTTCTCGTTTTTTCTTTCCATTCGAATAGCTCGTCGAGAATATCTTTAGACGGGAACAATCCACACGGAACGAACGCGCCTGATCTGTCGATTACTACTGCCAAGTCGTGAGATAAGATCTATTAATCTCCGTATAAAATCACTTACCGCGACTTTGATTGTACCCAGCTTGCCACCCTGCGTAATATGCCGCTTTTTGTTTACCGTGTTCCTCGGCAATTTTTACACTGAGCGGCTCTGATCCACCCTCTGGTATTGTACCATGAAGTCGCGCGATCGCCTCCTGTGCTTCTTCCCGTTTATCGAACCTGAAATCAAATCGTGGCGATCAGAAAAGGTGAGATCAGTTTCTCGTATGCGTTGCAGGTAAGCTGTCAAATTTTTAGACAAAAATGCTGTGTATGTAGTTTTCATCAAAATGCAGTTTTATCATCTACTTGCACCAGATGATAATTTTAAATGAGAAACTGCGGAGGAAGTTGGGGAACAAGAAATGTTCCAATTTTACGCGATAAAAGCCTCTTCGAGTCTTACATCTCATACGGTTACAGGAGATACCCTCCTGTAACGCCACTCAAATAATATATCTAATGTAAATAAATAATTGTTTGGAGTGACCTATATTTTCCACAGCGCCGATATACTCCAGCAGTTTGGCCGAACGTCTCGCGGGTATTTAGGATAAAGTAAAGAGAGCGCATCTATAATTATGCAATATCGAAACCAGAGGCGGTACAAAAATACTTTGGCAAGAAACTTTCGCAAAGTAAATATGCGCACGGTGCATGCACGGCTGCGTTGTGCAACGATATAGTAAGATCGCTGCAAACAGCTGTTTGGAAAATGTTCCAATTTCAAGTAGCGCGTTATTTATACGTGTACGCACTCGACAAGAGCATGTAAAGGTATAATCTTGGACGAGGTGAAGCAAAGATCTTGAGCGATCTCATTCGAGGGACGGTTCCACCCAAAAGAAGACGTTCAAAGATCAACGTTACGTGGACTTTCAACGCGTACGAACATACATGACGCACAAAATATCACGAATAAAATTACAAAATACAAAGTTACAAATTCACACGTCTCACACTCCGCAGCGATTCGCAGGTCGTTTAAGTCGAGCTCGCTGCTATCAACGTTAGTAGTAATAATAATCCGCTCACCGTACGAATGCTACCCCTCTCGGTAAGCCGGTAAGTTTATCCTTCAGTATATTCTTCTGCACAATGTTGCCATATTTACTGAAAATCTCATCGATTTGACTTTCCGTGATATTTCTGGAAAAGAGAAACAAACAACGATCCTTCAGTACAACCGTCGCGCTCGTCGGGTCGTTTTAGCGAGTCCCTAGGGGGAAACGATCGTCATTATCTACCTTGGTAAGTTCGTAACATAAAGATTCGTTTCTTTAATTTCCTCCCCGGAAGGTCGTGCAAACGACACCTTCAAACGTTTATTTTGCACCTGCAGTCCATTCAGCGTGCTTATCGCCGTTGCGGCATCCTCGGCCTTCGCGTAGTTTACAAAACCGAAGCCGTAACTGTAACCAGTCTGTAGACACACACACACACAGGCGTAAGATTAATATCGCTCACAAACGTGGCCGCACAAACGTGTGCCTCAATCGAAGATTGAACGACAAACACGCGCGTGCGATTTACCTTATAATCCTTCATGACTCGGCAGGACTCTACCGGACCGATAGTCACGAACAGACTGTATAGCTCCTTCTCGTTCATATTTTGTGGAAGATAATTAATAATCAGATTCGTCCTTGGTTCCTCATTGCTTTTGGTCTGCTGCTGTTGTTGCTGCGGCTGCGGCTGTTGCTGCTGCTGCTCTCGCTGGTCGGTCATTTTGTCTCGGTTGCACTGTTGCGAGTCACCCGATGCTGACGACGCCTGACTCGAGGCGACGATCCGGCAATTTCGTTGCTGTTGCTGTTGAGGTTGCTGCACGACCAACGAGTCCACCACCAATAGCTGAGGTTGCGGTCGCTGTCACTGTCGCTGTTGCTGTTGTATACTCCAACTGGTACGTTCCAACGGAACCATCGACGGGGTCGGCAAATACAAAAAATATAAACAAATTCATTACTACGTCTTCCCCGTGTAATGCCACGCTCGTAGGCCAGCCTGCACTTTCGAATGCTTTCATCATCTTTTCTTTAAGCGGTTTTAAAATAAATAGAAAATAAATGTGCATATTTTTATGTATGATGCCAGACCTGTGTGTGAGAAACAAACAAACAAACGCAAGTAAGGACAAAACAGAATCAGAGAGAGAATGAAGGGGGGGAGGGGGGAGGGCGGGCAAAAATCAAAGGAAAAAAATATATCAAGCAAAATGCGTTTTGCGATGAACAACAATCAACTACAAATTTTGCATACGCACGATGTAGAACGGAGCAACTCTCCAACGCACACGATTATCGCAGATACGTACAACAATTGCGAGTTCGAGTGACGAGAAAATTTAATTTTTTAGCGTCTCGCATACACTCGAGATTAGCATTTCGCCGAACGCATCGCGCGATCGGCGTAAGTTACGAAAGGTCGAGTTCGAAGAGTAAACAATAATAGGATCGCGCGCGTCGACAAACGTATCGGGAGTAATGCGGCGAATATACAACACGGCTAGCGTGTGTTGTGAATAATACTCTCGCCGGCCGTGCCGTGCAATGACACCGAGAAATATCGAATTTCATTGAGCGTCGCTGCGAGAATTCACATGTCGGCTCGAGCGGAGCCGCGCGAGAATTCATGTGTCAATGCGAGGGACCGAGTTATGCGTTCAGTTCATTCACACGAGGAGTTCGCAGGCGCTTTCGGCCGAGCAGCAAACTGGCGCGCTCAGGAAGGGACGAAAAAAAAATGCTGTGTGTTCGCCAATGTTCACGCCACTGAGACGCCGCACTCAGTCATCGTCGACGCGTTTAAATAACGCGACATGGTGTTCTTGATCGTTCCTAATTATTCCACTATCGGCGACGAGAAAGAAAGAGAGAGAGAGAGAGAGAGAGAGAGAGAGAGAGAGAGAGAGAGAGCGAGAGAGAGAGAGAGAGAGAGAGAGAGAGAGAGAGAGAGAGAGAGAGAGAGAGAGAGAGAGAGAGAGAGAGAGAGCAACAAAAACAAAACAAGAACGGACAAAACGCAAAAGTGAGAATACGAGAGTACGAGAGAGAGAGAGCGGATGAGAAATTTTCCAAGTTTGCGCGAGCAACGTAACCTTTTGACCTTATTTTGAACAGGCTCGGGGAAGTGTAAGCGGCCCGGCGAATTGGTGAATCGACCAACTTGTCAGAGTGTGGGGCAAGCTGGGGCGAGCGAGCGAGAGAGCGAGAGAGAGAGAGAGAGAGAGAGAGAGAGAGAAAGAGAGAGAGCAGAGTCTCGGGCGCTCCGCACCACATCGCGCGCGCGCTACGAGAGGAAGGAGCGCGCGAGGAGCGGGAACGCGCGTTGAAGAGAGAAGACGCGATATATGCCGCGCGCGCGAAAGAGAGCGATGGGATGAAAGAAGGGAGTTGTGCACGATGCGTGTGTATGTGTGCGTACGTGTAAACACGATTATTCCGCCGTTTCGCATACGTACCCCGAAGCGAGCGTACACGCAGAAGCCTGAGAGAGCCCGACGACGACGAGCAGCGCGAGAGCGCACGACGATTCGCCGCAGTCGCCGTGGGACGCACTACTCGTTCGCTCACTCGCGTCGCGCGCGTCACCCGTCACGCGCCGCTAATGCACACACCGACGACTGCCACGGGTAATTATATAAGCACGCGTATTGTCAGCATCGCGCGTCGTCCCGCACTGGCAGCGCGAACGAGCGAGCGGGCGAGCCTCCTGCACGACGTTCTCGCACTCGCGCTTCGCACTATGCCGAACTCTCGCGTAGCCACGCTCTATCCTCTTCCTCCTCCCCTCCTCGGTCGGTTGGTCGGTTGGTCGGTCGGTCGGTCGGTTAGTCGGTCGGTCAGCCGGTTGCTCGGTTCGTTGATTGGTCGGTCGGTCTGTCGGTTGATCGGTCGGGCGGTCGCGCAGCGCGAGCGCGCGGCGACGGCGACAGCGGCAGCGTAGCGCACGACTCGTTCAACAGTCGCGAGCGGGGCGAGCGGGGAGAGGAGCGACGGCGACGCAGCGGCAATGCAGCACGCGTGGGAGCGATGACAGCGGCAGCGGCGGCGGCAACGACAGCAGCACGCACGCACGCACGCGCGTGGCTCGGTTGTGTGGGTGTGCTAAACGTGCGACACGAGCGAGTTAGAGAGAGAGAGAGAGAGAGAGAGCGAGAGAGAAGGGGTGACGGGGAACCGCGGTGACGAAACCGCAACACACTGCGCGCGCGAACACACTGACTGAGCCCAGCCCTGACCTGCCTCGCGCGCGACACCCTCTCGCAGCGGCACGCTACCCCACTACGCGGCGGCCCCGCGAACGGCCGCAGCTGCTGCGCGCGTGACGGATCGTCGTGTGCGCGACGCGCGGCGCGGTACAGGGCGCAGGTCCGACCGAATCCCCGCGCCGCATCGTGTTTACGTGCGGCGATCTCGGTGAGCGCGCGAGAGTGCGCGCTCCACCGACTTTTCTTGCCCAGCTTTCCTTCTTTTTTTCCGTTTTCCTTTTTCTTGTTTTTCTTTTTTTCCCTCCACCGCTGCGAGCGAAGGGAAGCGACGGGCGCACACGCGCACTACGCGATACGCGACGGCGATATTATAGGGAAGGGTAATATCGCGCGTACGGGGAGAGCGATCGATGGGGGGCGAGTGATCGATTCAGACTCTCGGCAAACGGCACGTCGATTAATTTTATGACCTTACGATCGCGCTCCACGAGCATGAGAGAAGCGCGCTCAGTCACGGTGAAATGGGGTCGTCCACCCAACGAGGAGACGCGATTGTGTTCGGCCCGGTGAAATTGTCACGCGTAAAGTTATAATATCTTTCCAGAGCGCAGGGATTTCTTTCGGCGAGCTCCAGTGTGGAGCTCGGGGTTGGGAAAGTTTACTTTTGGAAAGTAACGTGTGCTACCATTGCTCTCGTTATCCATGAAAAAAAATAAGTATCCTGTTAAAAAAATATCCTATCGTCATTATTCGAGAAATAAGTGATCGTTCTTTTTTTCTTCATCAAGTTTGGAAGCTTGAGTTTTCGCTCGCTTCTGCCCATTCTACACACGTATATTCTATAGACGCGAAGCAACAACTGGCGAAAATGGTGGGTTTTTGCAATACCGTGTCTCAGATACGGTAAACGTAAATCGTGAATGCTACTGGTCGCATACATTGTCACGTTATTTCCGAGCGAATCACGTTCACGATTTACGTTTACCGTATCTGAGAGATTCGGTATTGCAAAAACTCCCCAATAACGGTTACATTTGTTACAATTGCCCAAAAAATATACTTGCGTCAACGTTGCTAATAAGAAAAAAAATAACGTCGTTCTATAAAGTCTCTACTGAAAAAAATGTAACTTGTAACGATAATATAAAAGTATGTTGCAAGGAACGAGAGAGAAAGATCTTGCTCGGTTAGTATTTTATTCTAAGCTCGAAATTGTAACGTAATTTGCGGCAAAAGTCACTTCTTGCACTACTTTTTTTTTCTAAAATGCTTAGTTCTTGAAATATTTCGCTGTCCTGATATTTTTTATATACCCCGTGATATGTGACCATATAGACAAAATTTACGTGTTATTTATACATAATCATATATAATTTGATATAATCACATATAATCGTTTTTTCTCCCGGGTTTCTAATCGTATGCACTATGTCATTCGATGATTATCCAGAAAAGCAAAAACGATATGTCGAAGTACTGAACTGTATCAAACGATTGTGATGATTTTACGCCAGTACTCGGAAACAAATGTGTATGATCAGAGAACAGTAATAATAGAAGATGGAAAAAGGAAATACCAAAACCCTCCGTTCGTACGAAAAGAAATATCCATAGATAGATATCCATAGTTGTAGAAAAATATATATACGGTAATATATTGTTTTTCACTAGCGCCATGTGGTTCGTGGATTATATGGAAAATAGCAGAAATGCGGATTGTCTAGTAGATTTAAATGCATGACTAGACCTGGGGATACCCACCTAAAAAAAAACTAGGTGGTGACAAGGGCACAGCTGATTTCGTTGGTTCACTGTAAAACTGCGAGTAAACAAAGTCGTGTTCTTTAAACGACCTAAGGTTCGACCTAATGGCCGTTCTACAACAGTTGCTAGTAGAATAAGACCGTAAGTGTGAACAGTAAGAAATGGACCAACCACGGTTGATTATTCTTGTCATAATCGACTGTGATTGGTTTATTTCTTACCGCTTACGGTTACAGTCTTATCCTTGCAGCCATTGTAGAAGGGCCTTAAACGATCCGTGAATTATATGAGAGGATCCGGAGTTTATGAAAGGTAACGTTCCTGTTTTCTTTCTTTCTGTGAGCGCAATATAACGTAATAACGATTATTTAATCATTTATTATTATTATGGTTATTTACTATATTGTAGGAACTTGCGTATACAACTTTGTCATGGTCGCTGACCAAGTGTAATTTGTTTGCTACACTTTGTAACATTTTATTTACCATTATTACATTTCATGCACATCCTGCATAAAACAAAGAATTTTTCCAATAAAAATGAAATTCGATACCTGGAAAATGATAATTTTCACTTGCCAAAGTAATTATACTTTTAGCACGCAAAAGTAATTTTCTGGTGAAGAATCGTCTCTTACGAATATGATTCTAAGCGGATTTTTTCCTTTCAACGCGTCGAAAAATTATAAATTTTTCTCTAAAGCTAGAAAAAATTATTTCTCCTAAAGTTCTGTTAAAGATAATAGAAAATACAATCAACCGAGTTGAACAATGTCTTGAAGAAGATCCAGTTCACCTCTTCAAGGAGAAGGTTTCTGAACAAGATTTCTGTCCTTTTTAGCTGCACCGCTGAACTGGTGCAATAAGTTAGAAACAATTATATTCTTTCTTGCTCTAACTTATTGCACCAGTTCAGCAGTGCAGCTGAAAAGAACAAACCATCGGTTTCAAGTTGTTCAGAGGATTTTCTTATTCATACATGGGAAGAAAATTAGGAATAAATCATAGGAGCACCAATGAACTACAATCGCGTTAGCTGAAAACAGCGAATCACACGGAGGGTCGGTAACTTAGAAACTAGAGATTTCAAATGAGTAAATTTTTCCCTATTTGTTTATTCGTACATAGGAAGAAAACTAGGAACAAATTATGGGAGCACAAATGAACCACAATCGCGTTAGCTGAAAACAGTGAATCACACGGAGGATCAGTAACATAATTATGTCGCTTGATTCGGTTTCTGGTTCGGTATCGTGTCCATCGTGGATTTGGCCCCGACGTTTCGTGAACATTCTCAGTTCACCTCCTCAAGGAGAAGGTTTCTGAACAAAACCTTTTAGCTACATTGCTGAACTGGTGCAATAAGTTAGAGTGAGATAATTCTATTCTTCCTCATTCTAACTTATTGCACCAGTTTAGCAGCTAAAAAGAACAGACCATCGGTTTCAAGTTGTTCAGAAAACATATCTTTGAAGAAATGAACTCTTTGAACGGTATCAAGCTGGTACAGAAAACTGACACGATACCAAGCCGCTAGATGAGATCAAGCATTTCCCTGCACCGCTGAAGCCTAAAGTACCAACTTAATCGTAATGTAATCCGTAATTGTGTGTTAAAAAAAATTATGTAAGTCGGGCAAGTCGGGAATTCTGATGTGCGTTTTGCGCAAAAATTGTTCGGCATACGTCGAACAATTTACAGGTAGAATTGACACTTCTGCAACGAGGCTTCGTTTTCACAACGGCGCTGGCGATAAGTGCGATAAATGAGCTTTAACGCGACGATCGGCCGCTTTTGCAGAACACGCAGAACACGCAACACGTAGACGCGCGCGCGCGCGCGGCACTTGTGTTCCGTGCAAGTTCTCGGGCAAAAAAAGATCGATCGGCCGCCATTCGAGCGCCGTCTAATTGGGGGTCGGGAAATGCGAAAACGCTGTTACGGATCAGCTGTGTGCACGTACACACACACACACATATACACCGATACGAAACGCTAATAGTTCGCACGTGTCTCATAAAACCGAGCCAAGAATACGATACGTTTATCCTTGTGATACTTCGGGAAGTGGACGATTGTCAGAAATAAATTTACCGTGCAAAATAGATGCACTGTCGTCAGATTGGTCGTAAACTTGGTGCTTCGCGCGTTTCTCGGAAATTTACCTCGCTCCTCACACGATACACGCAAAATCGGCGAATCCTCCCCGTCTCTTCTCGAGAGGAGAGTCCATCGGAATAATGTACCTTGGAACAGCCTCCCAAAAGGGGACCGCGAACATCGCAAGATCGCTCCTTCCGCGAGTACCTCCGGCGGCCTGTCGGACGGTGAGAATGACGAGGGAAATGTACGGTTCTTATTACTGGCGAACAGATCGTTCAACGAAAGGCCATAACGCGAAAGGCGTCTCGTGTTTGCGATCGTCACTTCTTGCCGCCTTACGTATTTTGTTTCGCCGCAAGGTCGTTTTACATGCCTGCGTTTCAAGTGCGCGCCGCGCGCGACGGAAACGTCGTCGCAGCCTCTATTCGCCGAACAAATGGTAAATGCTAATGAGCACCGTTCGCGGCATTCGACGCGACAATTTTCACGTCAGTTTGCACGCTTCGTCGACGACAGACCCCTGTGTGTTTCCGATCCCGACGTTCGTCGCCAGAACGTTGTTTCGCGTCATTCTCCGGTTGTTACTTCACTATTCGCCGCGCGACTTTTTCGTCGCGTCTCTCTTTCTCTCTCTCTCTCTCTCTCTCTGTTCGGCGGAATCTCAATCGGATATATATCGCATGAGAAATTCACTTTGATATATCGCGGTGTCGCGTGAAAGCAGCAATAACAGGAGGGACACATGAAGCAGCACAGCCAACTTACCACACTTGGAAATGTCTTTACGCGTCGCTCCGCACTCCGATTTCAGGCGCATTTATGCGTTTCGAGCGTCGCGATCGCGGTGCATATAATATGCAACTGCACTTGTGTCACAATAAGAGTGTTCCTCATGCGGTCGCCTCTCGATCGCCAGCAATGCGACGCATCTCACGGCAGCGAGGTGACTCGAGTCGTGTTGTTGCGTTGCGTCGCGTAGAAATGTGATGCGATGCACAATCACACGTACGTAGAGCGGCACATATACGTGCAATCACGACCTATTCGATCGTGAGCGATTGCGTCATAAAAATAATGACTATATGCGTATGAACCGATGCATCAATCTCGGGGCCAGGCAGATTCTCCTTCTATACTTATTGCGATGCTACTCGCGAAGATTCTCGTTTATTTTATTCTACAGTCGCGATTATACCGCGAGTTAGAAAATAGCGACTGGTGAGAAAAGTGCAAAGGAATCGCGATGGAACGCGCTTAATTAGATTATCTTGCACTTCTTTATAACCTATGACGTTATGGACGCGACTCAGTCTTTGAGCAAGTGACGCTTTAAACAAACTGATTTGTGTTTCTACGAAATAGGCTGCTTCCACCGACGTGGTATTGCGATCTCATAGGATCTAATTAACCAAGAAATTATCACAATTAGTCGTGAGAAATCACTACCGCATAAGTCACGCCACGATGTATGAGTTCTCACGATTACGCAGAACAAGACGAGTTTCGGCACGGCAGCGGTCTACAAACACGGTGCTGATTGCGTGCACAAAGCTGTGTTCTGATGTATATTGCCAGTATTGAAAATCTACAGTATACGTCACATGAACTGTATATTTTCAATGCTGACACGACGAATATCGGGACATGATCCTAGGGCACGATCCATTACACGCTGCAAACGCTTCGAAGTGCCCTGCGGACCAATCACGGCTTTGCCTTGGGCGCTTCAAAGTATTTGCAGCGTCTAGTGGATCGCATCTCTAGTATATCAATAGTACGCGTTACGTTGGCCAATCATAAATCAAAACACGGTTGAGGCACCATTTCGGCTGCGTTCGGGGATACGCTATTTAGCGCTATAAGCGTGCTCTATCTTTGTTACTTATTGCAAGATGAACAAGGATAGAGCTTTTAGCGCTAAATAGCGTCTCCCCGAATGCAGCCTTTGAGGCATCAGAAAGTATTCTTTTAGATCTTTAACGGATCCAGAAGAAGAAACTAATGAAGAATGATCGTAATGGTGATGAGTCACTAAACGCATAAGCTCATTCTACATTAGTCACAAGTCTCAAGGTCGCAAACAAATTGACCAATCACAGTTGACTATTTTTCAGTTATAAGGAGAATAGTCAACCGTGATTGGTCAA